CCCCCCGCCCCCGGCCAGAAATCCCCCCCCATTCCCGACCCCAGCTGCGGGCCGGCTGGCAGCAGTCGGGCGGTCCCTTCCTTGGCGGTGGCCTGACGGCAGGGCCCCTCTCCCCGCACCCAGGATGCGGATCGTGGACGACGATGTCAGCTGGAATAGCATCGCCGCTGTCCAGGAGAAGGAGGAGGAGGAGGACGACGAAGGGGATATGCCCGTGGTGAGCGGGGAATTAGGTCAAATACGGTTTTGCAAACTAAATCCTTTCTCCTTGCGGTCCACCTCGTGTGTCTCTTTGGGAAGTACTTGCCAAGCCCTTTCTCACTGCCTCCTCTTTGGGTAGGTTCTTCAGTAGGGAGGGGTCAGTTTTCCCCGGTCTAGGCACAAGGGGGTTGAATTAGCTCCCTGCAGCTAAAAGTAGCCTCTTTACGTGTTTGCATTTTTGCAAGTGCCAAAGCCACATGGTAGGCCCAGTGCAGTGGTTCTCATGGCTTTCAAGCAGCTGCTGGAGGCAAGGCAGAAAGTACCCGTGCGATTGTCGGAGCCTGCTGACTGCCGCAGTGTGGCTTGTGGCACGGGCTGGAAATCTTGGCAGCGAAGAGATGAACAGTGAAGGCGGTGGCTCTAGAAAGTTGTTCTGAGATCTGCCTGTAGGAAAGCAGCTAAGTGATGGTCACATATCAGCTGCTGATTAGTGCAATTACGCTTAATCATTTGTATTGGAGGGTAGAAATCCCCCCTTCCCCCCCTTCCCCCCTTTCTTTTTTTGCCATGTTGTTTACTCTGGTGTTTTATCTTCAGGTGGCAGAATTTATTGATGAGCGTCCAGATGAAGTGAAGCTCATGGAGCAATTCCGAACAAATACGAAATGGAAACTTTTAGGCGGTGAGACCAGACCTTCCCACCTTCTCTCCCTGAATTTTTTAACTGATCTAAATAGTGATTCTGCAAGTTAAAAAGATTACTAGCTTAAAAAAAAAAAAATCCTTGAAATGCTGAATAGATCATGAACTGTGGAGAACCCTAACGATGGTGACTTTCTGATTGTCTTTTCTTTAGACCAGAATGAAGACTCACAAAGTTCAGATATTTCATTACCTGCCAAATCTACCACGAGGTATGGGGCTCCAACTAGAAACTCTTCTGTCGGCTAACTCTTATTTTCTGCTATCACCCATCTTGTGCTGCAGTTTAAGTTCTTTGCTGTGAAATGCGAGAAGCGGCATATGCGGGGATTCCTTTTCCACTGTTGAATAACTTCTGCTGGGGGCAGAACTGGCAGACAGCATGCTGTCTAGGTTTCTGCACAGTATGTGGAACAGCTGTCCTGCAATCCTTTGACAGTGTCAGAGAAATCTGGGTGATGACTTGCTATAGATCTGGAATGTGGTGAGGATGATGGTGTTACAACATGCCTCTCTTCTGAAAGCATCTGTGGGGTGTTCCATGGTTGCACAGTGTCCAGGCTCTCTGAGAGAGCATGCTGGGGTGTTTCCTTGTGAGAAGATGATTATACAAGGGCACAGAATGGGTTTCGTAGCCTGAGTGTCGCAAGGGTCCCTAGAGGCTTTAAAAGAGACTTGAGTCTTTAAAGAGACTTTAAAATTACAGCTTTCCTGTGATCCAGGTTGCCTTTGAGGGTTTCTGGGATCTCCTTTGTGAAGTCTGCAGCTCAGTGATGCAGGTCACTACATGGAGGTGCAGAACCAAGTATGAATTTGCATTCAGAAAGCAGTTTTCATCCTCAATCTCTACTGCTAGCTTTACAGGTCCTACTTGTTTTTTGTTTCCAGTCTGGAGACAGCAAAAGAAAACAAAAATCTAACTCTCATTTTTCCCTTCTCCTTTCCTCCCAGGCGACAGCGCCATGACTCCCCGGACAAATCGCCTCCAGGGAAACAGCGCCATGACTCCCCAGATCTGTCCCCTCCCAGGCGAGAGAGAAATGATTCCACCAACCTCTTGCCTCCCAGGCGACAGCGCCATGACTCCCCAGACCTCTCGCCACCAAGAAGGAAGCGCCATGACTCCCCAGACCTCTCGCCACCAAGAAGGAAGCACAATGGCTCCCCGGACCAGTCTCCCCCAAGACAGAAGCGTCACGACTCCCCGGACCTGTCACCTCCCAGGCGACAGCGTCACGACTCCCCGGACCTGTCACCTCCCAGGCGACAGCGTCACGACTCCCCGGACCTTTCTCCAAAGAGAGTCAGTTCAGCGATGGGGAAAAAGGGCTGCAAAATCACAGACAAGTCACAGTCAGTAGGAGTCCAAGGAGGGCGATCTCAGCTCAGGCATGGTGTCTCTGACAAGTCCTCATCACGTCAGAAGCGTCAAGCTACTCCAGATCTATCCCCTTCACGGAAGAAGAGGTACGATTCTGACCCAGATTTGTCACCGCCTCGGAGGAAGAGGACTGGGTCACCTAGTCTGAAAAAGCAGAGCCGAACAAAACGTGAGTGTGCTAAGAGTTTGTTCTGTCTGTTCTGTGCTTTGCTGGCTGCCCCCTCTGTCATCCTGTTTGCATGCTCCTGAGCGGTGAGTGGTGTGGAGTTAGTAGTCTGCGAGCATGGAAGGGTAGCGGATAGGTTCTCATTTCTGTTGGTACAGCTAGTTCTTGTAATCCAATTTTTACATCAGCTGGACTAGAATTAACTTAGGAGTTAGCTGGCTAAGGCTTAAATATGTCTGAAAGGAAAACCGAGGTTAAACCCTGTCTCTGGGCAGTACGCGTTCAGAAGGAAAATTCACAGACTCTTGTCATATCCTTGTCTTTCCTTACAGTTTGTCGTCTCTTAGGTCTTGATTTTTCTAGAAGATGACCTTATGCACCACCATGTTTAGTCCTTTCACGGGACTAATTCTGTCTAAATCTGTGATTTTTAGTTAGAATATGTCTTTACTGCAGGTGCTTCTCCAGCTACAAAAAAGCTTAGGCAGGTGCCCTCGCCTCAGAGGTGCCCAAGGCATGACTCTGAGTCTCCATCTCCATGGAGGGCTACCCGGAACGCCTCCGATGCAGACCACAGGCTAGGCTGTGTACGCAGTGATTCCCCTAAGCATGGTCCTCTCAAACAGAATCAGAGCAAATCTTCAGACTCTGATTTATCTCCTCCACGACGGACTCTGCCAGCCAGCGAGGATCAGCGCAGTTCGAGGAGTCCCCCTGATCTCTCACCTCGTCACCACCGTGATGCTAAGGGATCTCCCAAGAAGGTAAGCGGTTTATCTTTCCATTTAAGTTGTACATTACTTCCTGTTGATAGAAAACTGTAAAAATGCAATGATTTACAAATTGTGGAGCAGAAGTTTCATATACCTCACGTACGCAGCTGTGCCAGGCCCTCTGCATGCAATAAGAGGCATGAAGTAGGTGTGAGAGGAGCTCTGCCTCAGTCAGTCCTCTCTGTTTCTGGAGGTCTGGGGAAGTTGTTCTTGAGGGTGCCAGTAAAGTGGCTTTGTAACATGACTGTTTCTGCTGACGCGTCTCTCTTGATTTTGGGTCTTCCCCTCGTTATGCCTCTGGATTGCTGGACAGCTCTTGGCTAGCAGTAACGTGGTTTTTGTCTGATTGATAGGCAAACGTGATGTTATCTGGGGTCAAAGCTGGCTTGGTGTCAGCTGATGTGCTGCGGAGGGAACAACAGGAGCTCAGGAGGCATGAGAGAAATAACAAGCACTTGGAAGGTAGGGGTGTAAAAACACTGCATGAGCATCAGCTCACTTTCTGTTTCTCTGTGTTCAGCTGTCTGCTGATGCTGTATCAGGCCCTGGTGTTAGGGTGCTGAGGGAGAGCATCCCTGTGGAGCAGCATCTAGACATGCTGATGGATTCCTTGCGTAGGGTCGCTGAGCCTCTGAAAGAAGAGATTTATAAATGGTGATTTCAAAGCAATGCCAGTGTTACCATAGGGAAAGCGAGTGTCGTCTTTTCTGTCTGCCCCATCTGCAAGTCTGAAGGAGCAGTCTGATACTCAGAGAGCTCACGCACGAGTGTGGCTGTGTGGGGCAGCAGCTAAAAGCAAGAGCTGTGATCCTGCCTGACTTTGGATGATAAGCTCTTTCAGAGGCTAGAACAAGTAAAAGGAAAAAAGCATTGAAATGAGTTACAGTTAGTCATTGAATTGTCTGGAGACAGCAGAACATTCCCAAATGCGTGACTTGAGGCATCTGTCCCCTCCAGAGGAATCCCGACACTCCGAGACTGTCTTCCGAGACAAGTCAGGCCGCAAGAGGGACCTCGTGCAGGAGCGGCTGGAGCAGAGGCAGAAAGCTGAAGCAAAGTCCGAGAGAGATGAGCAATACGCCAAATGGGGAAAGGGGTAAGGTTCTCTAGAGCTCCCTAGCATGGTCTTTGGGCCTCATGCTACAGCTTAGGACTCACCACTCCCTGCTTTTTAGCCCACCTTTGATACCGCTTCCAGTGGTGGTGTTGGTGGCATGTCACTTTGTTCTGAGTTTGAGCCTGGGACCAGGACAGCACATGTCCCACATGTCTTGGATTCCCCCTCCGTTATTCCCTTTGTTGCTGGATGTGCGTCAGGAATGCTTGCGCATGCAGTGGAAGTTCAGGACTGTGATCGGTCCTGCAAATTGTGCAAGTCGCAGTAAATGATTGCATGGGTTTGGAGTGAAACTTTGTGGGTTTTTTCAGGCTAGCGCAGGGGAGGCAACAGCAGCAGAATGTGGAAGATGCTATAAAAGAGATGCAGAAGCCATTGGCTCGTTATATTGATGACCAGGATCTGGATCGAATGCTGCGGGAACAAGAGAGAGAAGGAGACCCCATGGCTGACTTCATCAAAAAAAGGAAGGCCAAAGAGAACAAAGAAAAGAAAGGTTTGGATGTTCAGTTACACTGGTGTATGGTTTAGGGTTCTAGCAGCGTAGGAATGGAGGTGCTATTAAAGCCTAAGAACTGCCAGAGCAGCTTAGTCCTAAAGGGCTCCTTGTCTGGAGTTCATGTAGTAGCAGTATTTGCTATTACTGACTTGTTACTAGCAACGGTGACTATTGTTTGTTAGCTTAGAGAGCAGTATCCAGCAACTTAAATGTCAGCAGACTCCAGTTTGATTAAGTCTCTCTTTGGAAGTTTCCTCTGCGAGCTGTAGTTGGCTGTTAAGCAGCCTGTGCACTATGCCTGTATAGAGCAAGGAGTAAATGGCCGTATCGCTCTTTCTCTTTCTAGAAAAACCTAGGTACAACGGACCAGCACCTCCACTCAACAGATTTAATATATGGCCTGGGCATCGCTGGGATGGTGTGGACAGGTACATGTTCCTGATACAATGCTATGTTTGAATAACAGTAAAAATGCATGAGCTTTTGCTTCAAAGAGTTCACAGTGTAAAGATTTCCAGTTATCAGATGAATGGGATTGTTAGCATTAGTAAGGTTGAAAGTGTTAAGTTACCAGTGGGTGATGAATATGTGCTTGTTTGGGACAGAAGGAAGCAAGGCTGGTGCTGTCAGCAAGGGTGTGAATAGCTGCAGATGCTAGCTGTTGCTAACCACAGATTGAGGCAGAAACTGAGCCAAAGCAAAAGTAGTGGAAAACTCGTAATGTCTCTAAAAAGTTTCATTGCTTCAGAAAAGCTTCTGCGCAGCAGCCCATGGTCTTCTCGGTATTGCTCTGTAGGTCCAATGGATTCGAGCAGCAGCGCTTTGCCAGGATCGCCAACAAGAAGGCAGTTCAGGAGCTCGCGTACAAGTGGAGTGTTGAGGACATGTAGGCAAGATGAAGAACCGTGCAAAGCAGTGCTCCAGAGGTTCAGCTACTACTGCCAGAGCTGAGCGGAATGGCTCACTCTGCCTGGGCCAAGCCCTATCCTTGGCGTTCAGCATCCCAGCAGACCATCCTCTGAAAGGCAAGGCTGAATTTAGAGGAGAGCTGCCAAAAGAGGATTTTTCCAGCAGCCAGAGAGGACGAGCGCAGAGAACTGCAGCAGTGTTATTTGGAGCAGGGCAGTGGCTGAGTGTGGCGGACAGGTGCGGTGGCCACTGCCTGCCAGACTACCTCAGCTCTCTGGCGCTCTCCCATAAGGTGCTGCAGACATTGGTTTCTGGTCCCTTTATTTGTCTTCTAACAAATCGTAGAAATGATATGCTTAATTGTTTTTATGCCAAATGCTTTTTCCTCTGAGGGCGGTTCATAAGTCTTCAGCTGTCCTAAATCTCAGGTTTTTCTTCATGGTGAAAGTATACTGAACGCTTGGTCCCTGGAGTTAACCTCATCCAGTAGGTCAGTCTGTTCCAGAACTCTGTTGCAGTTTCAGTTGTGCTTGAGTTGTGCCAGGGAGCAACTATACCCTAAAACTACTTAGTACTGTGAGCTGGTTCGCCTCTGGGCTGATGTCAGATCTGCCCCACGTCCTTCCCAGTGCACCCAAAAGGCTTCTGTTAAGTTAATGTAGTTATCAGGCCCTCTAGAGTTCACGGAGTCACCGACTTGCAGTGAAGTCAGTAAAGCTCAGCTTCTCCTAGCCCTGTCTGAGTAGGAAGCTGCTTGCTGTGTAGCCCTCTGGCTCTCTCCTACGAGAGGTTCAGAGACGAACCCGCAATGCTGCATTTGGCAGCAAAATCTTCAGGAGCCCCTGAAACTCTTTAGGGGTCAATTTCTTATGGAAATAAACATATGGAGGGTGTTTAAATGCTTCCTCTGACTGTTATTTCAGCCCCCTCCCCCTCGCCAGACTTCACACCAGACAGTGGTGCTGATAGCTTGGCGCTTCCCTCGTGCTGCTGCCTGGGGGCTAGCTTCAGCGTGAAGCGTAACCCCTCTCTTGTGGTCCGATTTGTCGGGCTTGGAGGCGGAGGCCAGGCAGAGAGCTTCCTTAATCCCTGCTTGTGAGAAAGCACTTCTGGAAATAAATACAGTTGTTCCTGTCTATGTCCCAGGGAGTGTGTCTTAAATGCAGCCAGCAGTTTCCATGGAGATGCCTTGTCTTCAGTAGTGGTCAGGGGGCCAGACATCAGAACTGCTCTGTGCAGTGATTCTCAAGCACTAGGAGGGCTGTGGGCGCGAAGCGCAGGGACAAAGTCTCCTCTGGAGTGGGAGGGTCTCGGGACTTCCCTCCCTGTTTTTTTTATTCACTGTGTTGGGTTTCTAGCAGTCCTGTAATCTGTGTGTACACTTGTAAATAACAGCTTTCTTTTTTCACTTGATTTTGTGTGGTGGTGTTTTGTCCAAGGCAGGGAAAAGGAGGGTAAATAATTGTCACTGCCGGTGAAAGAACTGAATATAATGTCTGCTGCAGCCACCACTGTCTGTGGCTACCTCTGCCAAACAAATTGTGCTTTGCTAATGTCTTTATCAAAGTCTGCTGGGAACTATCCAGGCTGAAAGTGGGAACTTACTGGACCCTAGCTGCGCTGACAGTCCCACCTGTATTTAGGGGTAGTTGGTTAAGCTTCACCGCATCCTTTGGGGACAGATACCCTCCCATTGCTGCTTGCAAGTGCATAAACCGTGGACTGCTGCTCACAGACAGTGACTGAGGCCAGGAGAGGAGTAGAGAACGAGGCACCGCTTGTAGATCTTGTGGGAGAGAGCTGTGTTTTTTTTACTGTAACAGCCAAATTGAGGAAAACCATCCTTGAGCAGGGCTCATTTCTTTTGTGGGCACAAAGGCAGTGTCAGGAAGGCTTTGCTTGCATGGGCCCTGTTGCAGCGGGTTGGGCAGGAAGATGGTTTGGGAGTGCGAGGCAATTGTGTAAGGCAGCAGTGAGAGTTCAGAGCTGCTTGCTGCAGCATACTGAAAACCTGCTCTTCAGTCCTGCGTATTTTCCAGTTGTACTTTCCCCTTCTATCACTAAGGTCCTATTTTTTTTTCTTTTTTCCTGTAACTTGAGGCAGCTGCAGTCTTTTAAGAGTGGAGTTACATTTGATGGATGCTCATTTTTGCTCTTGCTTATCTGAGTGCTTCTGGAGTCATAAAAAGACGACTGTGGAATTACTGAATTCACCTTAGTATGAAGGATTGCTGCCCTGGTTAGATGCTTGTGCCTTCCTGCCCACCCTGCTTGGGTGAGAGTGTGCTTCCCTTACAGAGCAACAGAAGATGGCAGCTGGCTAGCTCATGTGACAGTTGGGACTATAAGCTGCTACTTAGGAAGGCAAAGCCATTTTAATGCTGGTACTAATACAGAATTATTTTAGTACCTGAAAACAGCATAAACTTCTGGTCTTGCAACTTACTTTGAAGGCTGCAGTTTTAAGATTTTAGGTAGAGGTACTACCATAGGGACCTCATATCAGTGCTCATTACAATGCTGAATTTATACAATGCATCTATTACTTGTTTGTTACCAGATATTTTTTTCTTAAGGTATGTATATCTGTGCACAGTAAGAGTATGGGAGAGCTTAGATGATGCAGTTTTAACATGCATCTTTCTATATTGTTGCCTTGGTGCAAATCAGCAAATATTAGGATGGCTGATCTAGATGTAATTGGACTAATAAAATGTGGGATCTAAAATGGCACTTAAGCTTCAGAGGGCACAGGAGAGCTGCCTCTTTCCCTCTGCTGATGGATCAAGCCTATCTGCCAAGACCCTGGGAGCAGCATTAGCCTGAGAAGGACCTGCAGATGTATTGGTGCCTTGCCGAGAGCCTGCTGATGCCACCATGCTCGAGGTGCTGCCACTGCAGCTCCCTGCAGAACTCTGGCTGTGGCTGCTGGAGAAACCAGGGTCTCGCTGGGGTTGGTACGTGCTGTGGGGGGTGCAGGCTCCCAAGCATGGCTTGCAAACCAAGCTGTTTGAGGGAGCACAAGCACTTGATGAGTGGTTAAGTGCCAGCTGCCTGTGAGCCAGAGAGCCTGGTCCTGCCCTGGAGCAGGCAGTCTGGCAGTGGTGGCAGCTCGGTTTGGAGGAAGAGAGGACAGTAGGAAGTGGCTCTAAGGGAACATTAAGATGGGACAGTACAGAAGTGTGAATGCTTTTCCCCTGTAGCTCTCAGAGCAGCCAGCATGCACCATTTGTAAATACAGAGCAGCTCTGCTTGTGTCTCTTGTGAAAGAGGCTGGGACCTGGCTTGTAGGGTGTTCACTTCAAGTGCGGCTCCTTGGCTACTGTTCTGCAAAGCACATCCGAGTTTGGCGGTGAGAGGTGTGAAGCTGCCTGCAACTTGCTGAAGGCTCGCACATCAGGGGAGAGAGCAAGAGGGTGGTGAGGATGGGTGCTGTTGTTACCTGATCAGAAAGTAATTCCCAAAACACACGAATTATGTTTAGAGAGGAGACATTGCTTTATTCTGCACAGGGTGCAAGGTGGAAGATTGCCACAAATCAGGCACACCTCCTGAGGTTTTCAGTTGATACTTATACACTGCAGTTAAAACACCACACATATCTAATACATATGTTCCACCTAACTATTGCATATTCATTATGTTGAGCAAGCATGACCTGTTGTTCTCTTGAGCAGTCATCCTAGAGTCTTCTATGCCTGCGCCGGGGGTCTCTGATGATCTTCGGGGATCTTGGGTGGTCGTTTTGGGGAAGAATACCCCTACTCCTTTTGTTTCTCTTGCCAACCCCTTGTTGCGGAAGGAGGATGTATGTCCTTAATTAACAAGTCTGTGACTCTGAAATGTCCGTTATCTGGTGCCTTGACTATTATCCAAACACTCCTTAAGCATCCTCTACTGTAAGCAGAATCTTATCTACTTTAAGCTTTACCTTGAGTACACATAATCTAAACAGTCCTTGAATAGCAAGCCTACCACACTTCTCATGTTTTAGGTTTGTTTTTTTTTTTACTTTAAGCTATCACCACCTCCTTATTTGTTAATCATCCTTCTGAAGGCTTGAGGCAAAGCTGTCTCCCTTTGCCTGGCCTCGGTAGCCATACAGGTGTCTGGAGGCCGTGTGGTGCCTGGGGAACAGAGGGGTGCCCCCACTCTGCCCAGGCCTGGGGATGCATGGCAGGGGTGCTCCGGGGGTGCCTGGCGCAGGGCGTCTGAGGGCTGCGCTCTGTCCCCCCTGGGCACAGACAAGGTCAGAGTATAGCCTGGGGTCTGAGCAAGCACCTGTCCCTTGCACCCTCCCCAGTCCTGTCCCCGTGCACGTGTGCTGGCTGGGGAGCAGGCAGGCGGGTTTGTCCCAGTACCCTTGGTCTGCATCCCCCATCACTGCGGCTCTCCTCTCTCAGACGTGGCTGTGTCTGAGCGGTTCTGGCAGCAGAGCAATTGGAAAGTGCTGCGGGATCCTCTGGGATGAGAGGAGCAAGGGAGATAAAGCGAGTGACACCGGGAAGTGGATCTCTTTATTAGTGTTTCTGGAAGGGCAGCAGCCCCGGTCTTGGCATCCAGCGGCAGCTTTGATTAGCTTTACCCCCCCCCAAAAAAAAAGAATATGAAAATCTTAATTTAATTTAAAATACTGTCATTCACAGTCATGGCAAACACTGAGCAGAGTAATTATTATGCAAATTAGGCAGATAGAAAAATGATTAATAATTGCACAAATTAAAAATTATTGTAAACATCCTGTGACTAGTGATAAGTCCGGGAGGAGTGCATACGCAGGAGGCAGCGTTGCTCAGTCAGCTCCTGCATCCTGATTTTCTCATTAGTAGGATTTAATTAGCAAACGATGTGAAGGAGACGAGCGGTGTTTGGGGGGAGGCTGAGGGTCGGCGTGGGCCGGTGCCTGGTTTCGGACCATGGGAGAGAGATGCCACCTGCGTGCTGCGGCTGCTGGCACCAAGCTTGAACTTTGAGTCAGGCTCCTGACTTTAAACTGTGTTACTTTGTAGAAAAGCTGGTTTTGGAGCCAGTTTCCTCCTTTTTGGAGAAACCATGCTGCTGGGGCGGCCACAAGCCAGGGATGCTGTGGGGCTGCCACGTGGTCCTGCCGCTGTCTGCCTGTCCCTCCTGGTGCCTGTCACCCCTGACCAGCCCCCCAGATGGGCACTTGCTAACGAGTGGCGGAGCTTGCTCCCTCGAACAATTAATGAGCTTATTTGTCTGGCATTTTGCTGCTAATTGCACAACATTATTTTTTCCCCCTGTTCGACTGTTTTACTTTTATACTTTTGACAGTGAGCACGATAATAATAATAATAGGCTTACACTGGCTAATAGGCTTACGTTGTGCATTATTCGTGTCAAGGACAAGCAATTAAGCTTGGCCTCACACATAATAATTAGATTTTTGTTGATGAGCTCATTGGTAATGTGTTTAGTTATGAATTAAGAGCTTAATTCCTGGTGTGTGACACTGTCTGCCGCCCAGGACCCCTGCCTACTGCTGGGAGGCTTTGCCCATGGTGGTGGGTGCTGGTGGGGCTGGCCAGGGAGACGACCCTCGGAGGGGGATGGCGAATGGCTGTCCTGCGGCTGTCCTGCTAACCACTGTCCTGGTGGGGATGAACGCAGCTTCTCCCAGCTACCTGGCTCTCGGCTGTTGTTTTTTTTTTTTAATAGCTCTAGCAAAGTGGGTTCTGGCAAGTGACATGTTATTGTACCAGTTTCCTGCTGAGCTCTCCTATTATTTTTTAATTAAAAAGAGCCCGAGATTTGTCACTTTAATTTTTCTCTAACTGGCAGCGGCTCCAAGTCGTGGGTGCTTGGCAGAACCCGATGGCTGCGTAAATTGTCCGGGGCTTTCAGCGGGGAGCGTGGGGGGGATGGTGCTCTGGCGGGTTCCCCCGGGGTGCTGGCACTCCTGTTTTGGTTTGGGGGAAAAGCGCTTTCCCCGGTGCCTCTGTCCCGCAGCGGGGCCGGGAACGAAAATCCTCGAGACTGACAGGTTAGTGATTGTATATGCATATGTGCACTTTCCCTAATTATGGAATAATTAGGGACATGCAGAGATAAAAATTACTAATAATATTTACTCTAGACTCTATTTTTTTAAATAACCCCTCTCTCTCTCTCTTGCTCATTCTCCGAGTCTGGGTGGAAATAACTTTGCAGATCCCAGTTAATGAATATTTGTAAATGCAAGAACATTCGGCGCCGGAATATCCAGAGGGCATCCTCTCTCTGCCTTGTAATTTTTTTCACAAGATATTTAATATTTATGGTTCCACAGCCTCGTGAATAAAGAGCCACCCGCAAACCCCCAGGAGCTCAGGGGCTGGGGATATTTATGGCGCTTCCTCTTTTCCTTTTCAATTACAAAGACACCTCACATAATTAAGTGCTAATAACCTTGTTAATCTAAAATTGATACTCTTTCTCCTGGCCATCTCTTAATAGAATTAAAACCAGATTAATAATCAAAGGTAGGAGACATTGTATGCAATTAAGGAAGAGGGGGCTGCACTCTGGCCCATCCCCGGGGAAGATCCAGGAGCTGGTGCGGGGCTGGGACAGCCACCCTGGCCACCAGCAGCACCAGGGCTGGCGCGGGCAATGCCAGGGTCGGGGCTCCCTAGCCGCGCTGGTGGGGAGATGTGTTTCCCCTCTGCTCTTTACACAGCTTAAATTTTTAAGACAAACAGCCGTGTAACACCATCTCCTAATGAAACTGTTTTATGTTAATTAATTATGTATCAAGGCTCATTTTCATGCGCAGCCCAGCTCCACTTCCCCTCCGCTGAGCCTTTGATCTGTCAAAGGCTAAACGGGAGATAAATAATCAAATTAAAAA